GGATGTATCACAATAGTGGTTTCCTACACCATATGTCTTACGGGTCCTCCCGTTCCACTAGGCTCACCAGCCTACTAGGCTCACTAGTCACACACTACTAGGCTCACTGGCCTAGCTCACAGTCTCACTCAATCTTAGCCTTCGATATCCTCATCTACGGCTTACACTGACGGCCGCGCTCAACCGCCTAAGTGACCTCCAAACCGCCTAACGGTTTAACCGTCCAACCGCCGTACACGCACGTCGGCGTTCACTAGTCCAAACCCTAACTCGGGCAGAACCCTAATCACAGTAATTCGGCTGACTACAATCACCGAATTCTAATACTAATCAAGTTGAACGGTACATGGAGGCAATCAAATCTTGTTTGCAAAAGTGTGCTTACGAGCTATTTAGCAGCCGGCGCTTGCATCTCTTTGCAGTTGCGTTCGACGTTAGAACAACCCTTCGGGACACAATTCAGATTTCTCTAGTTTGATTTTAAATAGTCATTCTCCACTTTTGCCCGTTGAGATTTCACGTTTTCTGGATTACCAAAATAAAACAGTCTTTCAAGCCGCCACGGTTCGGTTCGTCCAAATGTCAATCGCTCGGACTAGAAGAAAAGCGCTAGCGGCGATATAAAAATATCGATCAAGATCAATCACCGTCCAAGGCAATGATTTTGGATGCTTCTATATTATGCAAAAAAAAAACAGAAAACGTTGGAACGCCATGGCAAAAACCAATATCATGCCTTCAAAATAAGGGATTGGGTATCACTGAAGAAGCCCGGGACAATCAGGGGTCATCGGCTCCAGTGGGAAGTTCCCCACACTTTCTTTCAATGGCTTTCGTGTCTCAAAAACAAGAAGGAGATGCTACAAGACCATTTCGGGCAAAAAGTGGTTCCGCAACACTTACTAGCTTTGCCGGCATTTTCCCCACATTCGGTCCGTTTGCAAGTACCTGGAGGAGGTCCACGTAGTGGGTTGCGTCCAATCTATGCTCAACCCTTTTATTGCCAATTTTCCTCAAGAGGAGTTTCGTGACCCCCTTTTTGGCAGCCTCCTTTTGGAGGAGGCTGATATCAAGGGCGCTTATAGTTTCGTCCCCTTGACCGCCATTCCGCTCAATGAGGCCTGCCTTGAATCTCCGAAGGGCCCATACCGGCAGGGTAGCTATGAGCGAGATTTCGCAAGGGAGGAAGAAGCGACAGCGGCTAGCGAAGGAGAAGCTCCATCGAAAGCGGGGTCCACTTGAAGATTTCGGATCCACGGAATCCGAGAATGTTGCTTTCGTCTAGAAAAAGAGTCCCGGAAAGAGCGCTCGAAAGCCACGGCGAAAAGCAGAACGCGGCCAGGGGAGAGGTGGATGAAGTCGACTTACACTGGACCCTCGACATCCTGTACGCCCAGCACCAACCGGATCTTCGTATTGAAGAAGTGCAAGCGCCTCCTCTGGATCTCAGAACGGCAAACCCTGGGACGGATCCAAGACAAATGACGGGATCTGACCAAGCACCGTCGCTAGTTACCGGTAAGCCTCAACGCCATTGACGAGGACATCTCTGCCAACAAGGTTTTTGGTCACATGGAACATCCCCTGAAGCACGTCTGATTCAAGTGCTACCTGTGGGGTCAACCGTCGATCCAGTTCTCTAACGAGTAGTTCAGAGGGGTCGGAACGTTCGTGCCGGGCCCTCTTCGCTATTCCCTTATTGAATTTCGCATTTTTGACGGGAATGGCGAAGAAGGCCCGGCACGAACGTTCCGACCCTAGAGGAAAGTACATCGAATTTTTCGTCGGACCAATGGTCAGGTAAGGTTGCGAAACGGCCAGGGCCGGCGCGCAAACATTTGAAAAATAGTAGTACGAAACGGGGTTCTAAAGTTTAAAACCGGGGGCGGGGAATAAAAGCTATATTTACTAACTTGCACGCTACACAGCGCAAAGGCTGGAAAAAGCTTGTTGATCCTCCCCTTTTACCTCCAAAAATTGCTGCGAACTTTTTACCATCGGAAGATTGCGATTTCAACCAAAGGCCACAAGAGGCAGGTGTTGGTATTAACGGAGCGACCGTTGGCGGCCGTTGACTGTCACTTTTGAAAGAAAGGAGCGGTTAGCAAGGGATTCGATTCGACTCGGCGCTATGTTGAGATTCGGGCGTTACTTAAATGAGTACGCCCTAATATCCTAGACAATTCGTAGCCGTCGATTGAGGCTTCGGTAGGCCGAGTATCGACCGTAGGATGGCAAGTTATTTGGTACATGTTCTCACGCAATATCGACCGTCCGATCGTGAGTCGAGTCGAGTGATTTAGGGGCCCCGACCACTAGTGTGTAGTAGCCCCGACCTAGTAGTACGGTACTACCGACCTTCGGTATAGTACTACCGACGACAAGTCCGAGTGGTAATCAGCCCGTATAGCGAGTCGTATAGTGACCCGAGTGCGTCATATAGTGACCTGGTCACTTGGATAGGACTTCATGTAGTTGAACCGACTAGTGCCGGGAAGAGGTGGACTAGGCTAGTAAGGCTAGGGTACACCTACCCACGAATTTGAAATGCCTTGGACATTGCCATGGAATGGATTATCATTCCTAGTAGTTGTGAACTTGAAAGGCGCTTGCTTTCAACAGGTTATGGGCCCATGACGCTAGGGAGTGAGGGAAGAGTAGTAAGCCATAGCTAGCAACGACAATTCTAGGTTGGTGAAAGGTATTCCAGTGGGTACTAAAGGAGTGGAGTAATACTCTATCTCGCGACGCCCGTGAAAATACCCACAAACGTTACTCGGCACAAAGGAGTGCCCAGCCCAAGAAGCGTTGGTTGGCTAGCGGTAAAGATGGCTGAAGGAGTTAACCGTCTAGATGTTGACAACTATACGGTGTGAGATTGCAACTTCTTTCGACAAACAAGAAGTTGTGGAAAGGGTCGCGGACCCGGCCGGAATGCGGAGAGGACCGAGGAAGCAAGAGCTTTGATAGGCTTGCACATCTGGGAACAGCACCTAGGGGCAATCTTAGCAGCTGAGAATGCCAAGGTAGCGTGGGACGCGCTGAAAAAGACCTACAAGAGCAAGAGTGCGGCTCGGAAGTTGCAACTCCTTCATGAGTTGAGCACCCTCAAGATGCAATCCAGTGAGTCCGTTGCCGCCTATGTGGGTAGAGCCCAAGACCTTTACCGGGATTTGCTAGCCGCCGGCCCCGACATGAAGCCGGATGACCTATCCTTTAGCGTGCTTGCCGAGTTGTCAAGCCGGTTTGAGGGGGGTAGTAACGATGTTGACCACCACCAAGGAGGAGCTAGGCAAGGTGGAAGAGCTTCTCCCAACGTTGCAAGTGTTTGAGCAAAGGCATGGGCTGTTTGGGGAGCAAGACAGCGAGGCCTTGGGCTCGGCAACGGCGGTGGCCTACGCGGCCAAGGGTGGCAACTTTGCCGGCAAGGGCAAGGGTGGCCCCGGGAAGGCTTCCATGGCTTGCCACAAGTGTGGTAAGTTGGGGCACTTTGCAAGAGAGCGCAGGTCGGGGCCTCGAGAGCCGGAGACGCCCAAGGCGGGGAAGAAGTGCTACATTTGAGGTAGCCCTGACCACTTCAAGAGGGAGTGCCCGAAGAAGGGGGAAACCGGGGGCCGGCAAGGGGTAGCCTTTGTAGCCGGGGACGGGGTCGAGACCGGAAGGTGGATTGTTGACTCCGGGGCTAGCCAACACATCACGGGGGTCAAGAGCTCGTTCTCAACGTTGGAGATGCTTGAGCCGGGGACTCGGGCAATCAAGTTCGGGAACAAGGGGTTCTTTCAGGAGCCGGGGTTGGCACCGTGGAGTTGCGGTGTGAGATGCACTCGGGAGAGCGGGTTAACCTCTCCGTGAGGTGCTTACGTCCCGGGTGTGGCGTAGAACAGGTCTGCTCGGTGAAGAAAGCAACCGCGGTAGTAGGGGCCGAGGTTGTGTTCCGCGGGGTGGTGTGCGAAGTGTCCATGGACGGGGAGGTCATGCTTCGGGCGGAGGAGAACGCGGAGGGCTTGTCGGTGATTTGCCAACCATCGGCAACGTGGGAGGACACGTGCTTGCTCGTGAGGGAAGCCGAGAGCCCGGTGTTGTGGCACCGGAGGTTGGGGCACGCCGAAAATGAGAGCTTGGCCAAGATGGTCGAGGGCCCGGGGTTGGTCCGGGGTGTGGGCACTGGGGGTCAAAGCGGAGGCGTTCCGGGAGGAGAAAACGTCGGTGTGCGAGCCTTGCATCATGGGGAAGCAAACCCGGGAGCCGTTTCCCAAGGAGTCGGACTCCAAGAAGAGTACAGAGCCTCTCGAGCTCGTGCCCATAGATGTGTGCGGGCCCATGCCGGTAACGTCGAAGGGGGGGAGTAGGTACTTGGCCACTTTCCTCGACGACTTTAGCAAGCTTTCGGTGGTGCAACCGATGAAGCGGAAGAGCGACGTCACGGCGGTCACAGAGAGCGTGTTTGCCCGCTTGGAGTTGCAATCCGGGAAGAAGGTCAAGTCGGTGCAAACGGACCGGGGCGGGGAGTACGTCAACGAAGGAATGATGGCCCTCCTCGGAAAGCGAGGGACGGTGCAACGGACCACGGCGGGGCACTCTCCGAAGAAAACGGCTCGGCGCAGCGGTTGAACCGGACGCTCGAGGAGAGAGCGCGGACTTTGCTAGAGGATGCCGGATTGAAGCCAAACGCGTGGGCGGAAGCGATGGTCACTGTTAGAATTCGGTGATTATAGTCAGCCGAATTACTGTGATTAGGGTTCGGCCCGAGTCAGGGTTTGAACTAGTGAACGCCGACGTGCGTGTACGGCGGTTAGACGGTTAGACCGTTAGGCGGTTTGGAGGTTAGGCGGTTGAGAGCGGCCGTCAGTGTAAGCCAGCCGCAAAACTTCGCGTTCTCGCTGGGAATCGAACCCAGTCCGGAAGCCGCATTTTTGTTAGAAGTATTTGCGCACTGCCACTCGGGCCACACTGGCGCCAGTGTGGCCCGAGTGGCAGTGCGCAAATACTTCTAACAGTTTCATCATTCACGGCTAACTACACCCGGAACCGGGTGCCCTCGAGCGTGCACGGCAAGACGCCGTGGGAGATGTTCTACGGGGAGAAGCCGAACCTTAGCCACTTGCAGGTGTTTGGGGCGCGGGCCTACATCCACGTGCCAAAAGGAAACCGGAAGAAGATGGAGCCCGTGAGTGAGCGAGGGGTGTTTTTGGAGTACGAGCTCAACTCTAAGTCCTACCGGGTCCTCCGAGAGCGGGATGGTAGGGTTTTGACTTCCCGCAACGTCATTGTGGATGAGCGTGGGCCCTTCGTGATCCTTGAGCTTGGCTCCGATCCGGGGAAGGAGGAGGGGGGTGCTCGCGGCCCTAGTCGTGTGAGCCCCCCAACTCGGATGGGTGTAGGGGCTACCCCTACGGGGGAGGCCGGCACCGGGAGCGAGAAGTCCGTTAAAACGGATGAAGAAGAGACGGCGGAGCGAAGATACCCCGCTAGAGCGAGGCGGGCGCCCGGGGAGTGGTATCGGGCGAATTTGGCAGCGGAAACGGGGGAGCACCCCAAGAGATTGGGGGAGCATCCGAAGCCGCAAACCTATCAAGAAGCCGTAGGGGGCGAAGAGAGTGAGCTTTGGCGGAACTCGATGGACGAGGACATGCGGTCCTTGTTGGAGAACGGGACGTGGGAGATCGTCGAAAAACCGGAAGGGGTAGAGCCGGTTCCCATGACGTGGGTTTACAAGATTAAGCGGGATGCGCTTGGGAACGTGGGCGGTATATGTCTCGCGTGGTGGCGAAAGGGTACTTGCAAAAGCACTGTTGAGATACGCGCATTTAGGGACCGAATCTCTGG